TCCCAGAGTTCTCCAGCCAGAAGAGCTAGCTGGAGAATTCTGGGAGTTGAAGTCCACAAGTCTTAAAGTTGCCAAGTTTGGGAACCACTGATATAAAGCATTAGAATACATACCATAGATAGCATAACACATAACAGCCAGCATTAACCATGATTTTAATTACTTTTCCAGTTCTTGGATGATTGGGATTCAGGAAAGAATGGACTACATTGAGAAAAAAGTAGATCAATTGATCAAACAGCTTCCTGATCATGGAGAATTTACCTCAAACAAGGAACACCTAGCCACTTCCTTAGAAGATTACTTAAAGAAGGTATATCTCCATGATATATGTATAGCAATAATATATTACAAATTACTAAAATGATGTATTCAAAGATGTTTATAAACTTATTCCAAGTTCTCAATAAACCTACACATACGTAATTTTAATTCTTTTTCTCACAAGCATACACGGAAAGGTTTACAGCAGTATAGGAAAGTGGGTTGGATATGTTCACTGCCTTGGATTACCAGTAAAAAAGAATAAATTTGCATGATTTCATCTCCCGAGGCTGGACAAGTCAAATTTACCCTTCCTCACCTCTTCAGGGCTGATTCTTCTTTTCAGTATTGGCAAATCTCAAAAAGAGCAACTGTACTTCAAAAGGGAGGGAAGAGAATTGGACAGGGTTAAAGGAGGAAAGTTTTCCCTCCCTCAACATGCAATGGTTTTATTTTTTCCCCATACCTGGTAGGATGATAAGAAAGCTACTCTTCATCATCTCTATTCATGACTGGTGTAATACTGCTTTTGTCAGAGAAATAAAATTTGTCAATGATACTTTAAGCACCAAAGAACCTGATATTAGTAGAGTCATTAAAAACAGTCTTAAGTTAGACATCAGAATGAGCTCTGTCACTGGCTGCAAGCCATCACCAACAGAGGACAAAGACATTGTATTTTGATTTTCTTGACCAATGATCTCAAATAGAATGGCTTAAAAACTACTCCCAGAGCATATAGTAGGCAGGCGTTTTAGTTAATTGATAGCACTAAGACCACACAGTCTAGAGCTAAGCAGATCTGGGTATTTTATGCCCCCCGGACCACATCTGGATCTTTGGCTGTCCCGGTGTGGCCCGTGTGAGGTCAATTGGAAATTAGAAATCAAATGTAAATAAATGTGCCACAGGGTGCAGGAGAGGAAGCCGAGTGAGATGCAGCTCTGCACAGTCACCATGTGCTCCTTCGGTCAATTGGCAACCATGAGAGGGCAAGGAGAGACACGCTTTTTTGTGCCTGTGCACTGCTGGTTTCTTGGCTGGAGCAACCTGAGGAGTTGAGGTGACAGAGTTTGAGGACATCAAATCAGGTAACATTGGTTCAGCCGTCCACAACAATCCCAATTTCTCATGTCTCCCCTTGGGAAAATTAATGGCCTTGCCTTGAAGTTTTCTTTAATTAACCTCACAAAATAAACTGTGAGGCTCAAATAAACTCTAGCACTTGTTAGCACACGTTTTTGAAATAAGCAATAGAAAAGGATTAAGAACGATTAAGTTTTTAAAAATGGCCTGGTTTAAGAAAAAGAGACATAAGTCAAATTAGACTATGCTAATGCAGTTATTTATATATTTCCATATTTTCTACCCTTCCTTACACTTTATGCAACATCCGAATACTGTTGCTACCTTGCCTTTGGTTCTTTACGCCCATCGCTCATTTTCCGTAACTTGTGAATTCCATCCAGTCATGATTTTCTAGCTTTTTTTCCATTTCCCCTTGACCTTCACATTGTTTGTTTTGCAACTGTATCCTCATTCATTCTACATGACCTACCCTTCTTGTACTTTGTTCATGCTGATCACTTTTGTCCTCAGTTCACATTCTCTTTATCTTTCATCATAAATGTTCAATCATGCTTTCAGATTTATATTAATTCATTTGCCATGTATTTGTGCAAGCAGATTTATCTACATATCTAGACTATGTATTTAAAATGGATACTGTTAGGCACATACCTGTCAAACCGTACCATTCTCATTTATCCTTGGTTTTCTAAATGTTCCACTCACCTTTTCTTTGCTCTCTTGTCTTATCAATTCATGTCATCTAGTAGATTTTTTGTTGTTGACTGCATTAATTCGAAATATTATAGTATTTTTCCCGAATTAACTCATAAAGGATATTTCAATTATCACTATTCACTAGAGCATACTATCCAACTATCACTAATGTTCATACATTTATATGCATTCACAACAATCTAGATGACAGAAATTAATACTTTCTGACCTTTACTTGAATCTGTTTCATTTATATGTAACATTTCTTTTCTGCATGCATTCGTCAATACCACTCCACAAGATCAAAACATTTTCATTTTAATATGATACATCCTTATTCATTTTCCTTAGCACTACAGATGTACATCATAACTACTTTTCTTCCTGTTATTCCATTTGTTAGTTCTTCTTATACTATATATCACAGTCTTCCATACATCCCCATCTTTGAGGGGAATGGGTAGTTCGAAAATGTGAAATGTGTATAAAAATAATAAAAAATACAATATAGTTGTGACCAAATTGATCCATATTTATAGATTAGATTACCAGTTTCAGTCTTACAACTGCTCATTCAGCATTCCCTGCCAATTGCCAATATGCCACAAATGCAACTGGATGCAATTTTGCCACAATCATGCTCACATTATTCTATGGAATTTGTAATCTGGAGACTGCTTTGCAAACCAGTTTACAGTTAATTGCATTCTATCAACTGGAAGAGGAATATGCAATTTACTTGCTCACACTCAACACACTTTGTGCTTGTGCGAGGAAAGCATGATCAGAGCTGCCGTCTTTCTGTAAATATTGGTGGGGGTGTGTGGAGTGCTAGCTTTGTTGCTGTAAGCAGGTTGATTGGCTGTGTTGTTACATCTTGATTAGTTGATGGAGTTGATGTATACAGATTAGTCGGCTGTTTCATAACATCCTGTGTGGCTGAGGTACTAGCTGTAGTGGTATCCTTAGTCCTGTGCTGCAACATCCTGAGAGGTTGGCTGCATTTTAACATCCTGAACCTTTGCGTTGTAACCTCCTGAGTTCTGTGATGTAATGTCCTAAGCAGATGGCTGTGATGTAACATCCCGGGCTTTGGTTTGGCTCCAGGTTTGTGGTCTGGCCATTTGTTCATGGCATGTGTCAGTTTGCTTTGTGTGGGGGTTGGAGGGGGGTAAAGCACTTGGTGATGCCGCCGTGGTTTGGCTTCTGGATGATGGTTGCATTTCGTCTATGGGATGGGTCTGTATATTTATAGAAAGACGGCAACTCCGATCACACTTTGCTTACACAAGCATGAAGCCGAAGGCACCAGCCTGAAGATGGCGAGTGGGACCTCGTCAAAACATTGCCAAGATACTTTCAATCTTACATGGGAAAAGACCCGAATACGCCAAGACCTGCATACCTGTACCTGTGAAAATCTACGAAAACATACATACATACATACATACATACATACATACATACATATGTGTGTGTGTTTGTATATAAAATTATAAATTATATAAATAATTTGTATTTATGTATGTGTATGTGTGTATGTGTGTATGTGTGTATGTGTGTATGTATGTATCATATCTGAAATCATAATACTACAGAATTTTAAATGAATTTTATATAAAAAAAGAAGGCAGCTTTCCAAAAAGATGAGCCATTCTAGAATATTACAGTGTTTCCCTGAAAATAAGACAGGGTCTTACTTTCTTTTGACCCCTGAAATAAGCACTTAGCTTTATTTTTGGAGAAGTCTTATTATTTTTGAGGTGCAGGAGGTGGCAAGCATGGTCACCTCATGGCTGCTGCTGTGTTGCAATATTTTCAGGGAGGGCTTATTTTAGCACATGCGCTCAAAAGCTCAATTGTGCTTATTATCACGTGAGATCTTATTTTCGGGGAAACAGGGTACTCACCTTCATAATTGGATAAATTGCTTCCCCTTAACTAATAATATAGCAAATATTATAATCAGAATACTAATAAGGAAAACTTAAGGAATAAGATACCACACTCATAAGACTATATTGTTTTAAAAGATATTAAGGGAATTGTGTTCTTGTAAGCTGTTTCACTTTACAATTCCCTACTGTTGAAATACTTTCACGTGGTTTTCAGCTGTTATTAATATCTGTTTAAATATAAAGGCATCAAGAAAGATTCAAAACATTGGTCCAGTACTCTCGGCTGCAGTAAATCCTGGATCTTCTGCTCCTGAATCAGAAGAAGTCCTGAAAAAATATTTAGAGCTGGCGAATCAAACCAAGGTCAGGTCTGATGCATTTGTTTTAATGTCATCGTTTTCAATGATGAAATCATATGTTCATACTATGGGATTTTCTTACAATTTTTCAAAAGCTGTTATTTCAGTACTACCACTGCACTTTTATTTAGGTTGGTTTTAAACTTATTACACCATAAAATAAGATTAAGCACACTTTGCTTTAAAAAAAAACATTTTAATGCATTTCTCTAAGTTTTGCTATACATTATATGTGTATACATATAAAACTAAAGAAAATCTTACTATTCAGCATGGAAATATTTTCTGTGCATATCAGCAAGTGTCAATGATGTTTGTAGAAGGAGATGGGGGGAGTCAAGGCCATAACCACATGATTGAAGCTCTCCCCATTTTTAGGTATGTTACACATGCAATAAATGGATGAGAAATAGGGCTTCAATTATATGCTCATGGCCATCATCTTGACCTCTTTTTTACTCCTGCCTTTGTCTCCATGGACACTCCTGGAAACAGTCCTTCATAGAGCCTTCATGTACTAATGATTCTAAAAGATCTTCCAACCTTTTTATAGGATCATAAAAGGGCTTTGTGGGCTTTTCAATCTGTTGGCAAAGTGCTCAATAAATAGCTTATCAGAAGGTCACAATTTCTTTCTTTCTTTTTTTAATTGATCAATCTTGCATGGCAAAGTTGGAGCAAGATAAAAAAAAATCATGCCAAAACTTTGCTTCTTACTTTTTCTGGTGCAACCGGCTTTGCTCTCACTTTCTTTGTGTGAACCCACGGCAGGCAGTTGAACATTTTCTGAACCCCCATGATCCATAAATTAACATTTAATTATTAAAGATAAGCATTATTTTTGCATAATTCTTGCCACAACTGAATCATTGAGTTGAATTCATCAGCTGAAGCCTGAGAATTTTTTTTGAGGGGAGGAAAGGATAATTTTGGCTTCAGTGTAGAAACCATAGTGGGACATACCGACGAACCTTCAATAATATAATGTAATACTCATTTGTGTTTGATAACTAATAAATGAGGAAGTTCTTTAATTTTCAAAATGTTAGTGCACTTATTTTTCTCTGTTATACTTTGCAGGAGATGGCCAATGAAGTAGAATTGGCTGTAAGAATTTGTAAGGAAATGGGAGAGTTAGAAACCACTGAAATAGCAGTGTTTTCAAACAAAACTAAGCTTTTAAATGAAGAACTGACAACATTGAACAGAAATCTTTCCTTAAAACTCAAAATCTTGAAGCCCTATGTAGCCTTCTTAAAGTCATCAGATGAGGTACTTAAACATATTTTGTGGAAAAAAATTATGATTGGAAAGATAGCTACCGTACATTTGGTGACATCTTTAAATATAATGGAATAATGTTCAGAATAATGTTGCACCCTTCCCCGCTTGATATTGATATGTGCAAAGACTGAGTGAGAAAACTGTAGATTCTTCCATGTTACTTTGACATAAAGAAATGACTTGCAGTCTGCTGGCTGAAGCACTGAATTGATCATTATTTTTTGTGGTGGCTGTTGCAGTGCTCACTGGCATGGGAGAAAGTGGTCTCCTATAAAGCTTGTGGAAGCCCATTCATGGATAAAAAATATATGTTGGAAGAATGTTGTAGCATATTTTAGTTCCTCTTCATTAGATAGAATTAGATTAAATATTGAATTAAAGATAAAGGGCAATTTAAAATAAAGGTGATAAGAGCCAAGGTGGCGCAGTGGTTAAATGCAGCACTGCAGGCTACTGCTAGATCAGCAGTTCAGCGGTTCAAATCTCACCGGCTCAGGG